TTTACGTGCGAGATGGTGAAAGAATTGTCTATGATACACTATTCGGTGTTATAGAATGACGAGGAATTTTAAAATTGGAAACCGCCGATATTGCGGAAAAATATAGAACTAATTTATTTGCCTGATGTAATAAAAAAAAGTCGATTGAATCATCCATAGACCAGTATTTTAACATTCTTGTTCAAGTTATCTGCGTTTTTCCAAAGAGCATAGAGTTTACAATTGTTTTTAAATATATTTTAGGCAGTAAAAACTTACTAATAACCAAATATTTTTGCAATATATAGTTGTAATAATTTAAAATATTCTTGCAGTTCGCGTCGAAATATTAAACATGACTTTATTGAGCCAATTTATTTGCACACAAGTGTAAAGTTGTGTGTTTAAATATTGCAACATCAGACAGAAATGTTTACAGTTAACACTGTGTTGTTAATCAAATAAAATGTATACATATTCACGCTCGTAATTTAACGGAGTAAACATTGTCATTCATATAAAAATTACGGAAAGAACTATATGACTTTTTTTCAGTACTATTTTCTATATGGAGTTCCTATTTATAATTATCATACAAAAAGACTTAAAAGCATGTCTAGATCTTTGATAAATCTTAATAATCCCCATCATGTCAGTCATCAAGGCGTTACGGTACAGTCTAGATTTGTTCCAGTATACCTAGATGCACGGCGCTAAATGCTAGATGCCTACAAATTATAATTCTGTTATTCTATCCAGTTATAATGTCATCCGTTTAACTTCTATTAAATAATTAAACGTTTGAAAAATTGATACTTTTGTGTTAATAAATATAAAAACTAGCTTTCGTCCGCGACTCCGTCCGCGTGCGATTAAAATAAAAAAGTGAGTAGCCTATGTGTTCTTCCAAACTATCGTCTACATCTGTACCAAATTTCATTGAAATCGTTTCAGCAGTTTAGGCTACAAACTCAAATATCCATACATGTAAACTTTCGCATTTGTAATATTAGTAAGACAGTTTAGGATTGTTATAAATGCCTTAGTTGTTTTTGAAATAAAAATCCTATTAATTCTAAAAATTCTTTTAATTCTAACTACAATACTCAAAGACGTTTAATAACTCAAGGTCTCAAGAGTAAAAGAGGATTCGCAAATGATCCCTTAGTGCAGTATTAAGTTATTTTAAGCTCATGTTACGCTATAAATTATGAACTTTACTTAAATTTAAAAAGTTTACTCTACCACATAAAATGTGCATAAAACATGCGCACAGAACCGGCGCGTGTCTCTAATTGTACGTAACGGTGCGCGGAATCGAACCGCGGAACGCACTCCGAGAACGTTTAGAGTCGAGTTACATGCCACTGGGTATGCAACGCCTCGGAACACATCAAACATTAATTTAACTTACATGTAGGCTTCTACTGCATAGAAACATATCCATGCTCTAATTCTGTTTGACAAATAGATACAATATATCGCACCTTTATTGATAAAAAAATTAACTCACAATGTATGTTTTTTGGGAGTTTGTAGTTTGGCATTTTTACAGGAGATTTGAGATGGAAGGGTGTGATGACTGACGGATGATAGTTATTTGGAGTACGAAAACCCGGTGTGCCAACCCTACGGGGGTAGGATAAGGCTGGGGAGATGATGAAGAAGTCGTCTTCTTATCTCTTTTATATTCATTCTATTGTGACGCGAGTTGAATTAGTCGTATTCTCGCGATATTAATGTCGTTTATGAAAACACAAAAAAACATACATTTTGAATTAATTCTTTTTATGAATAAAATTTCGATGTGTTCCTACGGGTGTTCTGACAATGGCAATTTAGGGTTACATTAAAAAAGTATTAAATAAATAAACAATGTGGCAGACAACATCAAACAATTCATTCTGTGAAACGAGTCTTAAAACGTGAGTCCGTAAGCCTTCACCTTTAGCTTTAACGCGTACTTTCAGATATAAAACTGCAAATTAATGAAACTAAATATAATATATTACAATAATATATAAGATCTAGGCTAGATTCTAGTGCATTAATAAGGCCATAGTCAATGTAAATTTATATTTATTTCAAACTTTTCAATTCTCTTCAAGTCTCTACTGACAATCTTTAGGTTGTTATAACGGTATTTGAACTAAACCGTATTTACAGCATATCCTAGTCATCATCACCAGCTCACTATACGTCCCCACCGAGGGGCTCAGAGCCTAGCCTAATAAGGGGTGACTAGGCCATAGTCAACTGCGCTGGCCAAGTGCGGGTTGGTTAACTTCACACATATCTTTGAATTTCTTCGCCGATATGTGCAGGTTGCATCACGATGTTTTCCTTCACCGTCATATATCCTATCCTACTCACGAAGTTATAATTCAAAGTGATTGCAGACGGACAAAGCAAGCGACATTCGACTAGTGCGTTTCACTTTCAAATGCTTCTAAGATTAAGGTCGCTAACAAAAAGGCAAAGATATACTTACAGCCATACAAAACGCGGAATAAAGTTAAATTTAATTGAGTATAAGCAAAATTTGAGTGTGAAAAAAACCGTAGTTTTGACTAACTTAGGAGTAAACTGAGTATAAGCTAATATTAGTACAAATTTTGCTTATACTCAGTTTATTCCTAAGTTAGTTATGTTTGTTGTGTAAAGTATTTGTATTTACTATTTTGCTCCTACGTAAAAGGCATTAATCATTTTTGCTTATTCCCTAGGTTTTATTTACGTTTTTGTGTTTTTTAAATAGTCAAAAGATGGCGTTAGCTATAGTTAAACATAATCTATTGTTAGATGGCGATTTTTGTACTTATACTAGCAAAGTTTAAAGGTACTTTTAATTATCTCAAGGACTGAAAAAAAGGTTATAATAAAAGGCCGAAATCTGAAATGAAATTTAAATAAGTAGCAACATCAATAAACTCTAAATTCCTTACAAATGTTCACGTCTATCAGATTGTAAGCGGCGCGTACTACGGATTATTCAAGATTCGTTTCAATATTTGGCCGAATCTTTAAAGCAGATCATGAGTCACGTATTAAATTTCAAGATACATTGCGCGAAAGTGGTCCATTAATCAAGGCCAAGTGAAGCACAGATTAAAAATAGAGACCAAAAGAAACTAAAGAGTATTAATAGTAGTTATTTTTTTGTTTGTTTAACTATAAAACTTTATTGTATACTAATATTATAGAAAATCGTGATTTTTTGTATTTACGTATGTATTGAAATACTTTAAAACCACTCGGCCGGTTTTAAGTATTCTTTTAACGTAAGAAAAGCAATTTATCTGTTAAAAACATAGGCTATATTTTTTATGTTCACGCAGGCATAGTCGCGAGCAACAGCTAGTACTAATTAGATTCTGACAGCTTGTTTTGTGTCTCAACATATTCTTCCACCGCGAAACATTCCTAAAACTATCGCTATCTCAGTTTTTTTCAAAACAAAAGAGTGAGATAAGAATATCTTCAGTGGGAACATAAAGACAAGAAACTATGTTATCTGCATAAACGAAACAATTGCATAAATAAAACACCTGTTTCACTTATCTGTATAGGAATTTTAATTATTTTTACAATTGCTTTGTTATATCTTTTAACAATTGAAACATTGTAACAAAAGAACATATTTTCCATTACAATCTGTGTTTTCAAGAACGAGATATACGAAAAAACTGCATGCGCGAATTCCAATGCATAGATTAAAATTTACTTAAAGCGTAAAAGAACACTTTCTATAAACAATACATTTACACAAACAACCCTTAATTAAGTAAAAAAACAAAAGGCAACAACATCGTATTAAAACTATATTAAAAACAATACATTCCTTTCTTAATAAAAATCTACTTTTAAAAAGATATCTACCTAAAACTAAAAACTGTAGAATTGGCGCAACACTAGATTATCGGCAAAAACGTCACAGCTCTGACAGCTGTCACTGTCATCAGAAGGATTGTATTCGCGCGCGATCCTGAGTCCTGACGAGAAGTGTTGCTCTGAGTTTAAAACGATAGTATCAATTAAATATATTGTTTAAAACACTAAAAAACAGAAACCGCATAAAATTAATAAAAGCTTTAAAACATTAATAAACAAAAGTCATAAATTAAGGTCCCATTTAAATTAGAAGCAAAAACCAGTTATGCTTTCAAACAAGCTTTAAATATTGAAATAATAATTAAATTAATAAATCACCTTTTTATTGCTATCTAAAAGTACTAATAAGGTAAAATTCCTTGTCAGTATTTACTGCAATTTAATGCCCCATAGATAAAAACTTATATCTGTCTAAAATTTTTAACAAAATACAATATATTTTGTTAAAAAATGGCAACATTCAATTATTAAGTATTGTGTTTTTTTGTTACATAATCTATGGTATCTGTTGCGTGTCAAAATGTAAGTAAAATAAGTTCCTTTATAAAGAAATAAAAGTTAAAAATATATACAAAACAATCTGTTGCAATTCCCTTCTACGAACGTATTTAAAAAAAAATCTAAAGCCCCCTCAATGGTGTAACGTACATCCATCCGATCAGGTAGTCCTAAATTCGAATCTTTCCATTTGATTTTTGTTACGAATATAACAACACTGTAAAGAATTTGATTTATTTAATTAAAAAAACATAAGTAAACTTAGAATATCCTGATAATATTTATAAATAATCAAGATTTCCATAACTATAAAAAAGGAATTAGTTTGCTATTAAAAATAGAGTTGATGATTTAATGTCTCTTAACCTTTCTAGTAAATTTATTTATTTATCCAAAAAGACTTAAGTTATCAACAAGTGCATTTTAACAAAGAAAATGTTTGTTCATAATTTTAAAATATCGTAAATAAATTTAATATAAAATGAAGACATAAAATGAAATAACAAAGTTGTACTCAACCTTGAAAATGTAAACAAAGTATTCGACAGCTTTGCTCTTGTAATTCATTTTCTGATTAATAAGAGAGAAAAAAATAATCATCTCGCGTTGAACGAATGAAGTGACATGTTTACCTTTTGTCCTTTGAATCCGGCTTCCTAGAGCCGGCTGATGAATTGAAATCGACAAATTATCACGTCCACTGAGCAGCACACAGTTATCAACGACACTAAAAAGTTGTAACACCACTTTTTCGAAAATAGGGCGTGATTTACGCGGGACAAGTTTTATAACCTCAAAACGAAACACACGATCGTCCACAACAGCGATCGCGCGCCAACTGACGCCGGCCGACCCGCCGATATCTCGAGAGGAGATATAATTGTATTTGAACATTTAGAAAACGAATAATCGAATAGGACACGCTTTATTCGATTTACCAATAAACGAATGCAACAATTACTAATTTGTATTTAAAGTAAGCTTTCTAATTAATTCTGGAGTTTGAATATTAACACAAAGGATACACGACTGTCGGACGGGTCAGCGCACGACAGAACGAAGGGTCTTAGCTTGAGTCACTCGTCTTGCGATTCCAAATTGAAACAAAAATGTTTCCTTTTTCTTAAATAAACCACGTAATTGTTATATCAGCAAGGGAAACCTTCAATGGAAGATGGTAACCAAAGAAAATGTACAGAAACCAATATTTCAATTACAAAAAATTTATGAACATCTACGAATTTCAGTCAAACTGTATAATTTAGAGCGCAACTTCATAGTCTTCTGCGGGCGGGGTGAGAGTAGCTGAATATGGAATCAAAAAATGTTAAATAAATGTAAATACTCTTTCTAGTGAGTACATTTAATGGTAGCTTAGCATTTACAGATTAGCGATGATTCAACAAACAGCGGGTGGAAATCACCAGAAATATTTAAATTAACTCATCATCCACTTGCCCTTATCCCTTACAGAAGGTCGGCACAGTATGTGCTGCTCTTCCATACATCTCTATCCGCCGTCATATCTGATTCCACTCCTTTCTTAAGCATATCCTCTTTCACACAATCCATCCATACTTTCTTTGGTTTTCCTCTTCCTTTGTAGCCATCCACATTCTTAACACTTAAATTAACTAACTCGTTATACTTAATTTTTTTTTAAATAACAAATACAGTTTCATTTTCATGCTTTCACTCTTCCTTATTGCAACCAACATAATATGATACTATCAAATGGTATAACGCGAGCAAATGACTTGAGAAAGAAATGACTACCACATCCGACCAACGCTTGCAATATTATGATTTCCGATAGTTACAACATAATTTATACTTCAACTAGAACAGTATGCAATCGAGATAAATAATTCCAATATGTTAATTAAGGTATCCGGTTTAAATTATAGCTGATTATATTATTATTTTTTTTTATATGAGAAGGGGACAGACGAGCGGCGGGAACTTATTTAAACACTAATCGAATCTACTGCCGTACTCAGTATGATGGTAACTTACACGGCCACTTAACATAGTTGTGATATACTAAAGGCTTACACTAAGGGACTCCCTTAGTATAAACTACTAAGGTCTTTTAAAGATTCTTAGTTAGTTGTAAGCACATCTTTACCTAGGACAATATTTATTGTGAGTGTTGTAAGAACGTAAGTATGTACTTACAAGTTATTTGCACAATATTTTATCTTAGCCACGTGACCCCCATTCAGTGCTCAGCTTTCAAGAGAAACTCTGTGCTGCAACAGTTTGATTGTGACCAATTAAGAAGGACTTGCATCATATTGATCAAGTTTCTATTTTTGTACAGAAAAGACGTGTAGGAGAGCTGAGAACCCTCATCTTTTGTATGTTGTTTAGAAAAAAAAAACATACAGACGAATTGAGTACCTCCCTCTTTTAGAAAGTCGGTCAAAAATTATAAGAAATGTAAATAAAACACGTTACACACATTATGGAATCCTATGAAAGCGTAATATAGAGATTTATTTTTCAGAGATTTTTTTACTGTAAAAGAAATCATCAGTTTTATTTGAAAATTAAGACATGATAGCGCCATCTGTTGTCGAGTAGAAAATCTAAAAGAGTGAAAATCACGCCGTTTAGTAAATAGAAATATAGTACGCCATCTATCGTCCAGTAGAACAATTAATAGTCGAGGTCTATTGTCACCGTGTAATATGCGGAAATAAAATCACCTTTACGGAACTAGCCTCACTGTTACCTTGAATTTAACAACCGGAAGGTAAATTACAGGTGCATTGTGTTTTCGAAATCCATTCAAAACTAAATGGTTTAGGAATATCCTCATCTGTTGAATCGGTCACATACGGAAGTTACTAAGTTTTTTAATTAGTTACAAATGAAGCCTTAAGGCACTATGCAATAGAGTCTAAAATGGCTCATTTAGTCTCAATATTCCTTATCCCAAATTATTTTTTTAATATGTCACGTTAGGTCTTCAAAAATTATTTAAAATAAAACAACATTTCTTAAATTAGTTTTTATTTCATTTTTATACATTTTCATTACAATACACACTCCATACAAACACACAAAGTGATAAAACACTTGGGTAAAATCAGGTACAGTCAGCAACATGCGCAAATTAATATTTTAATTTTATTATTATTAATTATTGCTTACATTTGGTTAAGTCATTATTAGTAAAGATTTAATAAAGGATAAATAATTTAAATATACAAAGAACTATTGTAAAACATTATAACTTGTTAATGCATGTAGTGTACAATATTGTATACATATTGTTATATTTTATTAACAATCTCAAGTAACAAGAGACCGTACCTTGTAACATGATGACAATTTAAAAACACACAAAAGATCTAAAAACATTCGAGAATTATAAATAAAACGAAAAATGATTTAATTTAAAAGTACAAAATAATCACACACCACGTGTATATTCATACAAAATTTATTACAAACATTGTTTATGATTCAATGACGGACCTTATATCTTAAACACGAAGAAAAAGAATCACTTTTATAAACATTTATATAAAATATTCATTCACAAAAATATTCAGTAAAAGGCACTTTATTCAACCTTATTCATTATTATTCTATTGAATGTTTGAAAAATTTTCATTACAATTACAAAAAGGTCATCCAAAATGTTTATATATCAATTTTAAACGAAATGTCATACAAAAATATTAAAAGAGATTCTTTAGTTTTGTCTAATATACAAAAAGATACATCTAGATATTTCTCTAGTCCAAATTTCTCGCTGTACCAAGTTATTTAGTCCACTTTTTATAATAATGATCAATTGTTAAAAATTTAATAAAATAGTAAAGATTTATTAAGTGTTATTAGTTAAAAAAAAATACACATTTCTGGTATTAAAATAATTACATAAACATGCATTTTATTTCGTTTATTTAAATTAAATGTACTCTAAAATTGTACTGTAGTTTTTATTAGTACAATAAATTAAATGGTCACTAAGAAATAATTTAGTAACTTCGATATATAAAAATATAGGTAACTATGATAGCTCCTACGTAAATTAACGTAAGTTTGAAAATCAAATTTCAGTTAAATTTTAATATGATTAGCATTACAAAAAACTTGAATTTCCAATTTTTTTTAATGTTTCTTTCAAATTTAGTAATTATCAAATTAATTAAAAGAAAATAAAACATGATGCAAATCGCAATATTGTGTCTTATCTTATTTACATAGGAACCATCGATGAGTGATCCCCGTTTAAAAACATTAACTAAAATGTTAGTAATTTTGTACTTTTATGGAATATTTGGTGTTAGTACAATATTAAAATTCTATTTCAATTCGTATACATGATTGGTAAATTCATGATGTCTTAAATATAAGTTAAAAATAAACCGAAAAGTCAATAATTTATGCAAAACGCAATAATTCATTCGATTAATCAAAGATAATAGATTCAATATCGAATAATTTTTATATTTTTACTTGTCCCATTGCTACATAATCATCTGCAAAACCAATATCTGTAAATGGGCGGGGTTTTCATACTAATGGGCGTGGCAACAGCATAAAATGGCGTTTTGAGTAGAATTTTAGCATAATAGCGTAATTGTACTTAAATCGCTGCTATTAAAACCAACTATCCTGTTACTGGGTGAAGTAGGCAGGATGTATGGGCGTGACAACAGGATAAAGGGGCGTGGTTTTGAATAGAAAATGATTATACAAGCGTGATTACCCTCAAATATGCAAGAAGGCGGGGATAAGAGGGGCGTGATAAGAGTATAAAAGGGGCGTTCCTACGAGTAAAATTATAGTCAAATGTAGATTATTTCTGATATAACACATCCATCCTGTCACTTTAAGTATGTGGGGTGTACCAATGGGCGTAACGGCATAAAGGGGCGTGGTTTTGAATAGAAAATCATCACCCAAATATGCAAGTAGGCAGAGTCTATGGGCATTACTACGAGTACAACGTTAGTACAGCAGCGTTATTACTGTCAAATATAGATTATCACTAATATAACACATCCACCTCGTCACTTTAAGTATGCGGGGTGTACTAATGGGCGTGACAGCATAAGGGGGGCGTGGTTTTGAATAGAAAATAATCACTGAAAATGTTATCCTCCAATATGCAAGTAAGCAGGATATATGGGCGTGACAACATGATAAAGGGGCGTGGTTTTAAGTAGAAAATGATTATTGCAGCATGATTACCCCCAAATATGCAGGTAGGCGGGGTGTATGGGTGTTACTACGAGTAAAACGTTAGTACAGCAGCGTTATTACCGTCAAATATAGATTATTACTAATAAAATATATCCATTATGTCACTCTAAGTATGGGGGTACCAATGGGCGTGACAGTATAAAGTAGGGAGGGTGTATGGGCGTGGTTTACGAATAGAAAGTGAGTACAGCAGCATGGTTCC